TAATGTATTAAGCCTTTCCAAAATTTTACACTAATATATTAATCTTCCATCAAAATTTTAATCAATAAATATATATTTTATATATAAATTAATTTTAATATACAATAATACATATTTAATATATAATAGTGTGTGTATATATATATATATATATTGAACTCAAATTTAATTAATTTTGCCCCTTCGATCAAATATAACTTCCCCTTTTTCTTTGAAAATGATGAATATGGGTTCATATCATGAAGCTTCTAAAGTTAAAAAAAATAAAAATCTTATATTTTTATTTTAATTAGTTAAAATCTCATCATATTTAGTGGTTAAGTTAGTTTGCAAAGTACATATGGCCAAGGGGGGCAAGAGGGCCATACATGCCTCTCCAAACTTCAAAAACGATCATGACTTCTTGTAATTCCTCATTTAAAAACTATATGCATCTATATGTTGTCCCCTTATATTGTTGAAATATAGGCCCTCTCAAATTTTCTATCCCTCCGTCTCAATTTAAGTATCTCGCGTTCAATTTTAGTTTGTTTCAATTTTTTTTATATTTAGTAAGTTTGTAGTTTCAACATTCTACATAACAAGTTGAAAACTACGTACATGATTTAATGATGAACTATACACATTTTTAATTTAAGATCACAAGATTCAAAAAATCTTCTTTTATTTTTTAAATTGTGTGCTCGATCAAACTAAGACACTTAAGCTAAAATCGAAGAAGTTTTAATATTAATAATAACAAGTACTTAATATAAATGACACTTTTGACATGAAATGTGAAATGGCACAAGGATCTTAGATCCTGGAGACTGGTCAAATAGTTTAAGATCATAGGGTGGAAAAGTATGAATTTGCTACACATATATATAATGGTTGAGTGCTAACAAAAAATGAAAAAGAGCCATCTAACCATACACTTGTCCTATGATGAAAAAAACAATCATGCCTTATCAAGTTCTATTCTTATAATTCTAATTAATTCTTCCCCTTCTTCCTTAGCTTTTCATAATATAAGGTATAAATAGGACTTGACGATAATAATAATAATAATATAATCGGTTTATATAATTTGAGAAGTCGTAGGGTCTGAAATGATGATGATATATATATATGCAATCTTATTTCTATCTTATAAAGGTAGAAAAATTATTTTTAGATAGATTCGTGAGTCAAGTAAAATATTTCAAGAATCAAGGTATATAATAATATAATCGGTTTATATAATTTGAGAAGTCGTAGGATCTGAAATGATGATGATGATGATGATATATATATATGCAATCTTATTTCTATCTTATAAAGGTAGAAAGATTATCTTTAGATAGATTCGTCAGTCAAGTAAAATATTTCAAGAACCAAGGTATAAAGAAAGATAAATTACAATAATAATCTCTTCTCAAAGCTATTAAAAGACAGAAGTAAACATGAATAATTACAATAATAATCTTCTCGAAGCTATTAGTTTCACTCTTTTTTTTATTTTTTATTCATCCGATATTAAAATCCGACCAAATTCAGATTCGAATTTAATTTCACTCTTATTATAAAGGGAAAGTTGTAAAAGAAACTAGATGCAATGATGGTTTTGGATGCCCAAACCGACCTCGTTTAGAAAATCATAGTCATAAAGACATATTGCTGCAGAAAAAAAAAACAAAAAGTGGAGTCCAAATGAGACCACCACTATTATTTTTGGTGCATTTTTGTCAAAATCACTTAGTTTTTGCGTTAGTGGTCCTATATTTTTTTAAAAATAATTTAACTGTCTTAGTCAAATATGTTTATGTTCACTTTAACTAATTTTACGAAATATTTATCACTTTCCATCAATAACAAGTACAAGATATTTTTATCCATCACAATTAAGACAGATGAAAAAAAATCATTTAAACTTGAAATCTTATAATTCTCAATCTACGTCACTGACCATTAGACGACATTCTTTGGATTAGTTGTCCTATATTGATTTTTAACTCATCATCTTTACTGTAAAAAAATAGTTTATGTGGAGGATTTTGCCACATAACATATGAGCAGACATTTATCTCAACAGGAAAAAACCTATAATTTTTACAACAGAGAAAAAAGTTTTACTACTAATTATAGCAAATAAATCATCTGTATTAATGTACTTTAGTCAGTTTTCTAATAATCATTTTACCATTAATTACAAGTATTTGTATAGTAACACGTTTATGTTTATTTGGTCAAAGAATAAAAACTAAGTAGGCTTGTATCTCTCACTTTATAGTGGATTGTATATTAGAAAAAAGTGTGAAAAGAAAATCTTAGAGAAATTATGATATAGATCATGACCTCTCAATTGCACAGCAACAAAAATCAACAAGATGGGGTCCAAAGTGCTAATATGCTTTCCACTAAAATTTAACTTCAATTTTTAAAAAATAAAATAAAAAAATTAAACGATAACAAGCACTCACAAGATAACTACAAGTAATCGTCCATAAAAATTGATATTAGCAACGAATAAGAAACAAGATATATTATCTATTACAACATATTAAAATAAGTTGATAATAAAATTTTGTATAATGTCAGTTTCATATATTCTATTTTATGTAACACTAATTTTTAAAAAGAATGATACATTTCATACTTAGAAATAAACATTAACCTTTTATTATAAGATACTGAATTTACAGTCGCACAAATGTTCGTAACTTGTTTTAGTCACACAACTTTCAAAAATCTTTATATCATCTTAAACTCCGTGCCTAATTAAACGACAAAAAATCATGATGGATTTTCTCACACCTCTTTTTTTTTCCCCTTATAAAAGGAGCACTAGTGTGTGCTTCTAAACAAGCTTACTCAAAAACTCAAACTTGTATAACCTCAACTCCCTAGCAACACAACATATAACAATACACAAGAATGGGAAATTGCATAGTACTTTTGCAAAATGATAAGAAGAAGGTCATTGAATATAAAGCTCCAATGAAGGTTCATGAACATGAAGTGTCATCACCTTTTCTACAAGAGCCAAAAACAAAACATGTAAAAAAGAAGGTGAAGTTTGCTGATGAAGTAATAGTTATGGAAAGTAGTTGTTCATCATCAGAGGTTGTAAGAATTAAAGTTGTTATAACTAAGCAAGAGTTACAATCTCTTCTATCAAGTGAAGGAGAATTAAGAGTACTTCAAGATGGTAACATGGTTGTTCAATGTCCTCTTCAAAAAGAAAAAAGCTCTATTAGTGAAATTAATGATTGTATTATACATGAATTAGACTAGCTTATTAATTAGTTTTCCCATATTGTAAAATAACTATAGTAAGATACAAAAAACATGGGATGTACCAAGAAAAAAGGTTTTGTACTTTTTTTTTTAGTTCTAACAAGTGAAACTTTACAAATTTGGAATTATCAATCTTCTTCATCATATCAACTTTCTTCATAAGAGATTAAAATGTACGTATATTGCTACGTTCTTGATGATTTATTTACTTGTATATATATATATAAATCGGATCATATTAGAGCTAGTTTCCAAGTATTTGGAGCTAGAATCATTGGAGGAACCCTAGAAAAGCATGCCCATGGGCTAAAGAATGGGATGGAATATCCATGTCTTACTGTCAGTGACAAAGTCAGAATTTTCATTAAAAGAATTTAAAATATGAAGAAATCAAAGAAATTCAACATTTATATATATAAGATGAATTAAACCTTGAGTATACAGTATAATTTTCCGCCCCAAAGGAATTGTAAACACAAAGCAAGAGTGAATGGAATAAGTTAATGAGAAAACAGAGAAAAACTGCAATTTTGTTTGCGTGACTGACCTCAGCACTAATAAAGAAACATTTATGTAAATGTTTGCTCATATATTAACTACAGACAAAACATTACAAACTTGTCAATTAACTTACAAACTTTTAAATCGTCGTCTAATATTTTTTCATAAAATTTTCAGTATATTCAAAAGAGATCTTTACATTGTAATCTAAAAAGTCTATAAATTACAAGAGAAATATTTACTAAATAACTGTCACAAAAAGGGTTAGCCAGTGAAAATTCCACTCTATAGTTAGGTAGTTACTTAATACTTATTATGCGTTCTCATGCTCTTTTTCGGTTAATTAACCAGACTAATTAGCTCATTGTTAGGGTACCTAATATACTAATTGATAAATATAGATAGAAATTAATGGATTAACTGTTACTAGAGAAACTTTCTTACATCGTGATGGAGAGCTCACCACAAATTAATTTTATAAACTAAACCTTCGTCTCTAGTGCATATAATATTTACGCTTATAGTAATTTTTTTTTAAAAACGTGATCTCTAGTGCTTCCTCATATTGTTAGTCTCAAACCATGATAAAAGAGGTGGTTTTCGGTAAGTTAACAAGCAATCTAAAATTAGTCAATATATGATGAATCAACTTTAATATCGAAAATAGTATTGGAATGAATAGGTCTACATAAGTGTCGAATGAATATTGAGGATTCATAACCGAATCATAACTTGATTGAGACTAATGCCTAGTTATTTTTGGATTTGAAATCATAGATTCATTTTGTGATCAACGCGACTCAGACAAGAAATCTATATCTTACCCACCAAGTTTTTGCTCTGATTGAATTTCATGCATCGTAGAAGCTAAAGGAATATGCAAACTTGATAAGAAAGTTGAACTACAAGGATGCACAAACATTAAACTGCAAGCACTCACATATTTTAGCCTATGTTGCTCGGATACTCCAAAAACGTTATCACACTCATGTCAGATTCTTTAAAAATGCATAGCTTTTATCACACACACCTGGTGGTATTTTTGAAAAGTTCGAGCAACATAAATCTCAGTAGTATATCTAGAAAAAAACATGTCATCTTCCGGAAAATGAATAATATTACCCAATATGATACAAAACTCAATGGATGATTGCGAATTTGCGAAGAGTACAAAAGACAAAGTGTCTTATTATTTTCAGAGTAGGAGCAATATGGTGCATGTACATAACCTAGTATTAAAAGGTCAAACAATCGCCTGAAATGTATATATACAAGGTGTATAATACAATATGATATACATATACACGCTATATACGTCTAGAATGAATACTGGCGAAGTTTTGCTTTTCTAGTTCTATACATTAGTGAACAGATTTATCTCAATATACAGCACACTGACTAGCTATTCCTGTTTCCTTTCAACTTCCAGGCTAATCTCATTCCGACGTGTGAAAGGAAGAGTAAATGGTGGATTATACTGCAAGATAAGTACAACAAATATGCAGCTAGTGAGTTACTTTAGTTGCACTAGGCCAAAATCTGTTCTCCAGGAGATATTATAAGAATAATTGAAATGGTTCTGCAAATATACCTGTGCAACTTCTACCAAGGCACCATCTTTTACCTGAAACTCTGCATCTCCCTTTAGTGCAGTTCGAAGTCTTGATTCTCGCGCTTTAACTTCTTCGTCATTCACAAAACCTTAATTGGAATCAAATGGGAGAGGACTAGCTATGTTAGGATACAAAACTTGAAAAACAGAATTCCTAAATGTTCTCTTTTGAACTCTGAATTGATCACCGCCATTCGTCACAGCAGGCTTATAGGACATTAAAGACAGAAATGGATGTACAACTATGTATAAGTTTCTTTCATATCATAATAAGTGAATCGATCAATAAAGTACTAAGTAACTTTACCAAGATCTACTTCTATAAACCAATGAGACCGATCCCAGCTTTCTGACTACAGATGTTGAATTTCAAGTAAACTTAACATTCCACCTTGAACTTTGTATTGACATACTGAATTATGAAGTTACAAACCTGAAAAAGCAACAACTGCGACAGTTTTCCGAGGCACCTCTTTGATAGTTACAGAGGAATCCTTCGGTAGTGGCAAGTCCGAACCATACTTGGAGGGCATGACGAAGGACATCCTCCACTTTTCCTGATCTTCCGCCTAATGAAATTCTTAATGAGATTCCAGTATGTGTAATTTTTTGAGAAAATACGAGAGCAGGAAATAAATATAACAACTATATACATAATATTTATCTTTTTTTCCTTTTTGGTGGGGATGGGGTGGGGTGTGGGAGTGTTAATCACTAAAACATAGGATCAGACATAAGCTAAAGTGATTTTTTTCTTTTCTAGAATGGAATAATGCTGGTTTTGAAGTTTCTCGGAGCAAGAAATTCTTATAGGATGTCTCCACATAGCATAACCAGAGAGACACACAACCTATCGCTAAGGGAGTGCCTATTTCCACATAATATTGTTTTTTTCTGTTTCAAAATGTTGTTATCAGATATCCATTTATGAATGACTAGAAAAATGTGTTATTGTTTGTATAGAGGATTAGATGTGTATATTCATTCAGACATATAATCTTTATAATGTGGAAGATTGTTCTCTCTGACTGTTAGTCCATTCTAAACCTGTTCTGGAACTAAGATTGGACATCGACAATACATGAACTAGCCTATAGGCACATATCAGATGCGTGCGTGCAAGTATCTGATAGCGGTTCGTGCAGTTTTTTCTTTAATTATTAGTGTATTTGAAAAATTGGAAAGAAGTACCCAACACTCAAGTCACACCCCTCAGGTACAGGTATGGCAAGGCAATGAAGGATCCATGCAGCACTTATGTTGTTGGGACCCTTCAAAATTACTGTCAGGTGTGTATCGGATTCTCCAAAAACTATGCATTTTGGAGGATCCAACACAGGCGTGGCAGCATTTTTAGAGGGTCCGAGCAACATAATCAAAATGTGGAATCTAATAGTTTCCCGTTCTCCTAGATATGGATTTGCAATAGTACCATCCGAGAATACTACAGGTTCAAACAATAAGAAGCCACAATGTTTTTATTTCATATGTACCTGATCTGGCATATGGGCCTAGCACACAATTGAAAGATCCTCAAATCTCATCTAAAATACATTTCGGCTTTTATCAAATCCACATCAAGAACGTAAATGTGTTTTCCTTGTGAATTAGGTAACTAGATGATGTTCTTTTTCCCAATAGAATCAGTAAAAGTCAGCATTTCCATTTGGCGACATGAGGTCATTATTAGAGTAGTTCTTCATTTATCATTTCTCAAGTTATGTAGTGACTCAACTCCATTATTTTATCACTTTATTACTTTTATTAACACCGTGCATCAATATCCATGTTAGTAGTCCCTCTTACAGGGTATCTCCAATGTCCTGAGAAAAACACAATATGTCTACAAAGGTACTGCACAGAAAAGAGTCGAGCAAAAAGCATGTGTAATAGAGTAACCAAACCATCTGTCTTGAGTGAAGCAGTAAATAATATGCTGTAAAAGAACTAAAAAGGGAAAACAATGATCAGTTTAAGTGTTGTACCCTTTTAGTTATCACTGGAGTAGTCATTTCCATTTTCTCCCCATCAGATTGAGTTCTACGAGTGATTACGGGTGTCGTCATTGCCATACTCTCCTTCTTCATGTTCTAGAAGTCATCAAGAAACAGAACAAAGCCAAAAAAGGCTACCATTACAATGTGGTTCGAGGCGATCTAAGGTTGACTCTATAAGTACCTTGAACTACCTTACCAAACAAGTACTCAGCCAATGTGTTGAAGGATTGAGATGCACCATTTAAGTCAAACCCAGACTTCCCAGGCATTGTAGCCTCGGCAACAAAGTAAGGCTGCTTAAAGTCACAATACTACTTTAGATAAATGAACAAAATTATAACGAAAAGAAAGATGGTTAAAAGGATAATCAGGAATTATTTTTTATCAACATGACAACATAAAGAGATGTCGATGAGTAAAGTTCTAATAATACAGCATGTCTATAGTATGGTAGATTAATGCTATTAAGAAGAAATATATGCACCATGATAACACTGTGACTGTTGGTCTAGAATTCAGGTTAAACACAAAGGACTATTTGCCAAAAGTTAATGTCAATGACTTTCAAACAACAGGATCCACGGCTTCAATACGAATAGAGAGAGCTTATGACATGCTTAAATCTAGGTGATCAAACAAAAGTTAGAACGTAACATGCTTATTTCAAGAAACTGCCACCTCCGATTTCTAATCATGTCTTAACACTTGAGTCAGTATTGCAAACATGTTTCTCAAAATTGAGGAAACTCCTGAGCTGTGATCACCAGATTGTTTCTGTCAGTTTCTTTCTGTTCCAGAAAACATTTGGATACCAGATATCTTTCAGGTTCCTATTGTTTCTTTTACTTTCTTATTGATAGATCATAGACATGCTGACTCTTACCTATAACTGTCACTCTCCAGTTGTGGCATATACAAAATGATCAAACAACATCACTCTCCTCTTCCAAGTGGATGCATTGCAGCTATTTGAAATCCATTAATGCTTTTTTTTATGACCATAAAAAGGTTAATAACATATATGAACAAAGGTCCAATTCTTCAAAAAAGACGTTGAATCAATTTTATAACAAAATCTGCAAAATGTCTCTCTTGTATCTATTGACATGACCTAGTTAAATCACCAGCCAATGCTTTATTTTGTATTAGACTATTAGTAACCTAGATCGCTTCGAGATAACTCACTAGAATCACCATTTATTAAGAAATACTGACAAAAGGATTCTTTGTGTGAGAACATGTAGCTGGTGCAAGCAAATTTAAATAAATAATGTATCTTGCCTAAGATATGTTTCCTCATCACAAGTTTTCCCCTCTATCTTCAACATATTTTTGATGAAAGTTCTAAAATTATTTTTTGTCTGTCAAATATTGCTCCTCTTTCATCTAGAACGAATCCCGTGATAAAGTGCAGAAAGAGTGCATATAAATCTCGATGCTACTGGGAAAAAAAGTATGAATAGAAATTAGTCACAACACATATACCTCAACTTCTCTTATCTCATACTGATCTGTAAGTTTCAACACCTTGAATTTCACTGTCTCCAGATCCGGCACTTCATGAAGATGACAGTGATATGAGTTACGTGGACTGATTTTAACCATCTAAAATATCATTGAATATAACAATCATAAATAGATTGAAAAAGTATACCAGACATCAAAGCTTCCTCTAAATTCCGACTTTCGAATATCCTCTTCGGAAACACGTATTTCGCGGTTTCATTCGCCAATTCCGTCAGAACTGCCAACAATATAACAATCAATCAATCATTTAACATCGTTCTCATCCCAAAACTAGTTAAAGGACTAAAAAAACAGAATCAAATTGAGTGAAATACTAATAAAATACGATTAACTGAGGAATAAGGAATTGCAGGGAAAAACTTACGTTTTTGAGAAAGAGAAGAGGTTTGGGAGGCGAGAGCGATGACAAGGGAGATTCGAGCTTCGAGAGCTGACATGCCGTTTCTCCGCTGCGCCGGAGCAGAGCTGCTTCTGTTTACTGCCATAGATTTGATCGGCGAAGGTCTTATTCTGCTTGTGGATGGAGGAGCAAAAATGGAAGAAGGTGAGAGCAGAAGCATTTTTAGTTTTTTACGTTGCAGTGTTTTAGGCTCTTATTTTCGCTCAGGGGAATAGATAATTCGGAATTTAGTCTTCGGCGTAATTTTATTTATATTTATAAAATTGCTGTCACGTGATTATGAGTTTGGTGAAAATAATCTTCTATCATTAAAATTTAGAAAGACATATGCCTGATAATTTGAATTTATCATTGTCATTCTTTATGAATTTTTATAATATATGGATCACAATAAATATGAAGAAAAAACCAATAAGATTTTATAAAGATAATAAATAAAAGGTTGATACATTTCCACCTTAAACTGAATAGAAAAAGGCCCAAAATAGCACGATGAACCAATGTGAATGAGTGTAAGCACAAATTACCATTATGCTATTGTCCTACAAATTATCAACACATACATCACTCGCTATAACTCTAATCTTCCACAAAACATTCATTAACATAAGATTCTTATTCTACCTTTAACCCCTAACTTGAGTCGTGTGATGAGTAACTATCCATGATTCAGAGAGCACTTATAGTCCGCACTGATGAACGGAAGCACCCCCTCCCCCTATCAAGCAAGAAGGAAGCGGATCTTTCCCACTGTGGAGTCACTACCGCCACAGAGTGACATGCCAAAGGCACATAACAAGAAAGCCAACCCAAAATGATTGTAAATAAAGTCTCCAGCCAATGTAAGCTTTATCAGATCCAAATTTGTCTTCAATCCTAGTCTATATTAAGCATGAAAGCAACATCCTCAGTAGTCACATTTCCAGAGGTGCCTACAACCTGTAGATACAGAGGTATCCACTGTGAATCTGCCAAGAAAAACACCACCAATATCATTTAAGTCCGAAAGCAAACATAATGCGGCGTTCCACATTTCAACTAGGTATTAAGCAAAACATGAGATGGAAATAAAAGAAGTAACTACTCCAATTCACTTCACTTGGTAAAGAATTAGGAGAATCACAGTTAAATCACGAAGGTACCCTGAAATAACATATGCCATATGATATTCACAATTTAAACACCCCGAACATAACACATAAGAATATAACAGTGCTTATATTCTACTGCATTACAAGTTCTTTCTAGGATAACTCGATAAACAACAAATTGTTTGATTATGCTATTCGGATACAGAATAGTCATGTAGGCTGTAGCAGTGGTACTCATTTTTGAAATACAAAACTAGTGGCTTAGACAACAGGCTGCATCGAAGAGTTATAGTTCATACACTTCATTAGCTACAATTGTCTTCTTATTTTGCAGTCTACCTATTGAACCAACTTCCTCCATCTTCCAGGAATCAGAGATAGATCCCACGAACTGCATAATTATTTATATGCTGCCACATTACTAGGAGAGAAATATCATAAAAGAGTTCACACCAACAATTTGAACAAGCTTACTCGACTTAAAAAGTATAAAAGGAGGGAGTAAAAACATTGCACAAAAAGCAGCTAAAATGTGTAAGTAGCTTAAAGATAGTAAAACGAATTTACAAACAATTGTCGATTCTGAATAGCAAACACGCAACTGTATTGAATAACAATGGTGTCTGAGCAAGCTTCCACGCACCTCGACTATTTTATTAGTTTATGCTACCTCCTGCCAGCACAAGTATTGAGCAAACCCACACTTAATCCAACAAAAACCAAATGTATGAGAGTGGAATGAAGTACTTAATTGTTCATATTCATAAATGTTTCAGATGTAACATGAGTGAATTTCACAACAATAGTAGTATCAGGATTCTTTAAAGCAAAAAAAAAAAACTAGGGCACAATAATATGTTTATCGCCGTCAGAAAAATTAGGGGAAACATGAACTAAAACTAGAGGAAAGAAATTCCGAGCAACTTATGAGACATCGCCGGCGGAGACCGACAAAACAAATATAGATTTTTGTACCGGAGCTCAGCGCCGACGACCGGCAAAAAAATTTGGACCATTTCTCGATTTGTGCGTGTCATCCTTGCGCAGGGGCCATGCTAATCTTCTCTGTATCGTTCCAATTTTATCGGATGTCCCCGAAGGGACGAACTCCATTGCTGCGCTACGGTTCTTAGGGTACTGTAAACTTCTCTCTGTGCTCGATGTGGGAGAAACGTAAAAGAAGATATAAGTCGAGTAAATGTCGTTTTGGGTCCTTAAGTTTCGAAAACCAAATATTTAGTCCTATTTTTGGAATTTTTGTTTCAACATCAGCCCCTGAAGTATTTATTTATCCACGTAATGAAGTTACTTCTGAAGATGTATAAATTATCCTTAATTTTTGTAAATATTATCATGTATTTAGATTTTTGACAGATTTTCAAATAATCAACACAAACACTTGAGTTATTATCGTAATATTTGATTCATTATTTGTAATTAAGAGAAGTACCCCTAAATTTGATGTTGGAAACTTGGATTAATAGGATTTGTTCTTGAGCTCTTGGTTCTTGTCTTTAAATGAAAAAAAAATCTTAATAAAAGTGCTTTTCTTTTTAATAAATCGTATGCGACACAAATTTAGATTAATTAAATTCCGAAGGAACAAACCTTGGGATGAAAACATAAAAAGTCGTTTGGTTCAAAGACAAGTTATACTGAAATTAGTTGAGATTAATTTAAAATTAGTTATCTTGTAGTAATTATTTTTTACTATTTGAATTGTTATATTAAAAATAACATACATTGTATAACTTTTATAAAGAAATTATTTTTCAGTAAGAATATCATCCACCTTATACGGTAGAAAAAGGATTTGGGGAACCTTATTTAGCAACTAGATTTGTTTGGCTTGAATAGAAAATTGTACGTAACATTTCTGCCTAATAAGGATCACTGTAAAAATACCTAACATTGTTCACAAACATCTTGTAATGTTCGAATTTCATTACCAAACTATACAAAAAGAACTATTTATCATCCAACGTGCTCTCACGATCTTCACTAAGGCTATGTACACATCACCCTTCTCAGATTCACTCGTGAGATCACATTGGATTTTCGTTATTGTAACGCCTCCCACGATCAAGATTCAAGAGTGGGCTCACCAAAAAGGAGGGGACATGATTGTAGCTCGCACGTCACCGGACCCAATCTGCAAAATGACAACATAGAAATGAAGTCTGAAAAGTGAATACTAGAAAATCCCTCAATATGTGTCGTAGACAAACGACCTCAGCGGCTCAGGCCTCAGAGTTGGGCAGGAGTCATGGAAACATAACGCATGAAGGAAACAATTAATGCAATTTCATTTAAGTCTAGCCGTTCAAACTCAAACACAAACACAATGTACACATAAAACACATTAGCTCATCACAGTTCTACTCTCGACCAGTTAGACAACGATATACCAAGATTGGAACTCACGAATCTAATCTTCCTCCCAACCAATAAGACAATGATATACCGGGATAGGAACTACGAATCCAATCTGCCTCCCAACTCGGAGACAGGCCAAACACAAATAATAGAAAAATGAGTTTTCAACTCCAGCTTTATATTATCTCATAAATTCACAGCATGTATTATTCGAACAACCCTAGGACCTTCATTGAAGTCCTCTTTTTTATCTACCTTAAATGTTCTCGCTGCACAGAAATACTTCATAGTTAAAGAAGGGGGGAAATTGCTTATATGTCACAAACGTTACTGGATGACAAAAAGCTCACTGAGCATTCAAGCACAGTAACTTAGAACATAGATACTTCTCGAAATGCTCAACTTAGAATAGCTGCAAGTTAGTATTGTAGTTTCTTCTTGCAGAGAGAGAGATACCATAAAGGAATTTACAACAATTTGGATGAGCTTCTTAAACTTAAAAAATACAGAAGGATGGAGAAAATCAATTGCAAGAAGCAGTTCAAATGTGCAATGCAGATTAAAGATAGTCGAACGAATCTACAGAAAAAATTGACGATTCTGAATAGCAAACAAGCAACTAAAACGAACATGATTATTTGGTTAGTGGATAATGGGGAACAAAAGATAGTCGAGTGCTTGGACTATTTTTGGTGTGTGCGGAATTTGGACTTGAAAGGGGATTTGGGGGTTGCACAATGGGGAAGGGATGTGTGATACCATGTAGTCATGACTCATGAGTAATTAATACACCTTTGACAAGCTATTACTTAATGACAGTGATTTGGGGGTAAGCTTACGCACACCTCGACTATTACACTTAATACTTACTACCTCCCACCAGCAGTCCAGCACAACACAACTACTAGATAATACCACACTTGATCCACCGAAAGTATGACACCATTCCCTTAACATTCGTCTAACGAAAAAGAGCACATCCAAAAATGTTAAATCTCACTATATCCTGACCACCAAAAGGCCTTTTTTTTCCCCTTGATATCACAGTTTTACATTTACATAGGAAAACCACTCCAACCAGTCTGATAGATGCCTCAACGCTCGTTCATCTCATCATTATCTGGTTCATTTGCAGTGAAGGAAGAATTGGCACAAACAAAACTGATAATTTCTACATGTTCCCCAACTAAACAATTTGCTCGAATGACAGATCAAATATTTTGCAGAATCAAAGAAAAACCAACAATTTTCTCCTAACATTTTCATAGTTAATGTGCATAATTTTATCAAAGCTTTAAAGATTGCACCTTTAATGATCATTCCGATTCTTTAACCCTCTTTCCTAAGTGCCCTATTTAGATAAAATTTCATTCCAGCATTCATGATTACTTAGTTGTCTACATGTCCAGTTTAAAAATAGTGAAATACAAGTATCAACAACAACATACCCAGTGTAATGCCAAAAGTGGAGATGATAGAGTCTACGCAAATCTTACCCTATCTTCAACCATAGACCATAAACCATAAACAACCTTAGAGGGACAAATAAATCTTCAACCATAAAGGCTACCAGCATTCATCGAACGCCATCGAGATTGTAACACACTTAATGAGTCTCCACCTATAATTTTAGACTTTTGAAATACAGGATATTCAGCAAAAAACAAAGCAGGATATTTACAACATTTCCTCAAAATTTG